GGGGATGGGGACGGAGGCAATTTTTGACCCTCCGCCAAAAATCCCCGCGGGGATCCCCGTACCCGCCATTGACGGGGATGGGGATGGGGAGGGGGTCCCCGCCCCCGTGGGGACCCGTTGCCATCCTTAGTGGTAAAGGCCATGAGAATATTCAGAAAAGGAATATCACTTAAGTAATTTTATAATAATTTAAAAAAATAAAAAATAAAATAAATTAAAAGATAAAAAACACTGCAACTTAAATAAAAACTACATATATATGTATATATACACAGTAAAAAAGAAAATTTTCATTAATTTTCACATAACGGAAAGAGCCTGCAAGCACAAATCAGTCCAAATTAATATATAATGAAGCTGCGCGCGCGCAGGTTATGGCTGTTTATTTATGTGGTTCAACAAAAGGCCTATTATACTATTTTTGCAAACACAAACGCAATAAAGTTGCAGGAAATAAGCTAAAAAGAGAGTAGACAGAAAGAAAATGTAACAAAGGACTAGTTGAACCAAACATGACAGCAAATGACTCCTCGTTTCAGTTTAGTGGCGGGAACAGAAGGCCCAGGAGGACCTGCTCTGCTTCTTCCAAAAGCAGCAATTGGGCAAGGCGTCGATCGCGGTTTATCTTCCTCAATTCCAGCCCATTTCTCTTCGCTTCAACAGCAGCTTCCATTTCTTCCTGTTTCTCTCTCATGTGGCTAGTTCTTGCTCTCATCACCGCCAACTCCGCCTCCATCAGGTGAATTATAAAAGCCTCCTCCATCTGTAGCCCCTGTTCTGCCTCCATCCGATGGAGGGCCAGCGCCTCCTCGATCTTTAGACCTTGTTCCGCTTGCATCGGGGTAAGAGTCTCCTCCATATGTAGCCCCTGCTCCCCGTCAGTCGGGTGGAGGGCCTCCTCCTGTATCCCTTTCTGATCTGCTTTTATCTGCAACCCCTGGTTCTCCTCCATCCCGTGAAGAACAAGCTCTTCCTTTTGTAGCCCCTGTTCCTTCTCCCCCATCGGTTGAATTAGACCCTTGTCCACCTTCGGCCCCTTTTTTGGCCCCACCCGGCGAAGGGCTAGCCCTTCCTTTGGTGGAACCTGCTCCGCCTCCTCCATCTGTTGCTCCTTCTCAGTCTCCATCCGCTGAAGAGCTTCCTTCATCACTAAGCCCTGCTACTGAGTACCCAGACAGCTCTGCTTTCCAGTTTATGCAGGGACGTAGCCGGCATTTTATAGGAGGCAGAGGATTTAGGCTTATACCTTTAAAAAGTCCTTCAACTTTACGTCTTTAAAGGTTTTAGCCCTTTGACTAGCCTTTTGGCTTTGACCGTTACTTTAGCAGTTAACTAATGGTTACTTTAATATTTTCGGTTTTTCGTAACAAGTTCTTTAATTTAAATTTTACACTTACACCCTAAAATTTCTAAAACCTTTGGCTAATCTCTCTATTTTTTTTTTCCTTTTGTAGATACATGATACAGTAAATTTATGACAAAGTTTAATACTCTTTTGACCTCTTTAGAACTGCCATTATTACTACACTTAAAATCTTTAGATTCAAGATTTAATTGACAATAATTAATATTTATATCCCAAAGTATTATTTTGAAATTTTTTACTTAGAGGACTCAGCTGTAAATATATCATTTTATGTTTAACTTATGTTTTAATGGAAGGGTTATTCCTTTTAAGCTTTTGAAGTTGAAGGGTCAAACATGTTAAAATATAAAGTGAAGGGTTAAAACATATTTCACCTTTCATCCGAGAAATTTTTGTATCCTTGTGGACGTACATAACGATAATGCAGCGGTGACTTTGGCGACACTTATAATTAAACAAATTATAATTTTATTGTAAGTATTTATTAATTTATCATTATGATGCACTTAGGCCTCCGAATTTAGTGACATCAAACTACGTTTAAATGCATCTACCTCCCCTTAGATAATGGTTTAAATTCGACTATTGTTTAAAAAAATATATATACCGTTATGATAATGGATGAAAATACACAGTTACCTATTCTATGAAAGAATTTTTCACTCATTCTAGCTAAAATATTAGTACTTATTGAGTCTAATAAAATAATTATAAATGTGACTCGTTTTGAAAAAATTCTTTTTTTTTTATAAATGAGTATTTTTTTATAAATTAAATTTAAGATTTAATTTTGAAATTAATTTTTTTTAAATATTAATTTTTTAGTATATCCATTAATATAAGAAATGTATCTTAATATGATTTGACGGAAACCAAGAGGAGAGAGAAAATTTTTAATTAATTAAATTATAATATTTTAAAATATTATAATATGACTAGTTAAAAAATTCTATCATTTCCTTTATTTCTTTTAAATGAAACATAGTATAAGATTATTTATTAAGAGATTTCTCACTGGTCGTTTTTAGAATAAAAGATATTTTTTATTTTATAGTTTGTCTCAAAATAAGAGTAATTTTTTCATATTCTAATGATGATAAATATTTTTTTACTCTAACTTTATAATTATCTTTAAATTTTAATTATCCCTTCTATTACTATGAAAAAGATTTTGTATTTTTATTTCTTTTTTAAAGAGTAAAATAAATAAAAATAACAATTATCTCTAAATTTTTAATTTAAAAAAAAAAAACTTGTGTTATTTAGAAAAATGATTTAAAATTTCATAAAATGTTAATAAAAAATACATTAACTGGTAAAACAATACATACTTCGTCACATATAGGTAACAACCTAACCCAAGCTTGGTTATTTAAAAGAAAAATATATATACTGGCAGTGACCCAGCGGCCCCACGTCACAAGTGCATGCACCATAACTCAATACAGATAAGTAAAGTGGTTGTTTTAAATAAATTCATCTTTGCTGGTTCATTACTATAAAACGGATGTGATTTTAGTTCTCCACCCCTGAGTTAAATGGTTTGTTACTTATCTTTTAGTGAGAATATCATCTTAAATTAAATGTTTGATTTCTTGAAAATTCTCTTTCCCGTCCTCGTAGTATGGTAGAAATATTTGTTAAATTGTTTAAAAAAAAAGGTATGATTTTATGTGGAGAATGGTGCCCCCACAATTATTATCTTCATTAATGAAAATAACAAACAAATTACATGCCATGAAATCATCACTACAGTTGCATACCATTGTACTCGTTTGTAATTCACCAGCTGGGGCTCTTTCTCACTTTCCCTCCCTCGAAACGGATTGTTTTTTTTAATAGTTGAATCAATATGAGTGTTTAAATACATGTCGAATTAAAAATATATTAATTATTTTTTATTTATTTATATAACATAATTATAATATATATTACTGCCACATCATCAAAAAAATTAAAA